GGTTAGTGTTACAGACATCATGTTGTGTCTCCCAGAGTTCACATGTTAAAACCCTAACCCCTAATAAACGGGATGGTCTTGGAGTGGAGCCTTTGGTAGGAGATTAGGGTAAGATGAGGTCATGAAGGTGGCACTCTCAGGATGGGATCAGGGCCGTTATGAGATGAGGGGCCAAGGGATTTCTCTATGTGTGAAAGAAGAAAGTTTACTTTCTCTTCTGCCTTCCTCACCAGGGAAGGCCAAGTGAGGACATCAATAAGAGGAGGGCCCACACCAAGAACCCAGCCACGATGGTAGCCTGGATCTTGGACTTCCAGGACTATGAGAAATAAGTTTAAGTCACCCAGTCCATGGCCTTCTGTTACTACAGCACAAATTGACTATGGCAGATTCACAGGCTCAATCAATCAGGCTCAGGTTGGAAGTTTTGGCAGAAACGCCTCACAGTGATGATGTGTGTTCCTGTTGGGTCATATCAGAAGGCAAATAACATCTGGTTGTCTCTTTCCTTGTGATCCTAAGACTGATTTGCGGGAGGTTCCAATTCCAGGTCAGATGCGGTAATCACACCCGCCCTGTCTCTGCCACTGCGTGCAGCTGCAATAAAAACCTAGCCAAATACATGGTACAGCTATTTTTAGATTCTGGAAAGTAAACTGGAGTAGATCAACTGGGGAAGAAGAACAAAATTCAATCTATCACTGAAATAGTGGTGAATTTACTATTCCCTCATTCCCCCGGCACAGTCCCAGGAAAACTACAAAGTATCGGAAAGACAGTGGTGGGCAGGGAGGAACTTGGAAAAGCAACCCTATAAAGTTATTTATGAACTTCTAGGCTGTCCCCAGTCTGCACAAGCATGGATCTGGTCCTAATCAGCACACCCAAGACTTTGAGAACCAAACTCACCGACTACTGCCCACGTCTCAGACAGACCACACAGGAGGTGCCCATGCACCACACATCCAAACAGCAGTGCAAAAACAGTTTGAAAACTATGACAACGGCAGCCCACAGAGGGGCTGTTAGGAATCTGTGGCCTGACCCAACAGGGTCATTTGCTTACTAAAACAAAAATATAAGCATTCTCTGCAGGACTGACACAAAACCCAGAAGGTCGTACATAACCAACAAAATATCTAGAATATAATCCAAAATTAACTTACCTTGTGAAAACAATCAGGAAAATCTCAATTCTCATGGGAAAAGATAATCAACAGACATCGACGCCAAGATAAGACAGATGTTGGAATTATGTGACAAAGGCTTCAGAGCAGCTCTTACAGAAAGACTCTAACAAGCAATCACATACACTCTTGAAACAAATAGAAAATAGAAAGTCTCAGCAAAGAACCCAGAAGGTATAAAGAAGAACCAAAAAGAAACTTTAGAACTGAAAAATACAGTGACGAAGAAACAAACACACCATGTGGGCTCAGACTAGAGATGACAGAAGAGAAAGTAAACTTGACAAAAGACTAACAGACATGATCTAACCTGAACAATGAAAGGAAAAAGGTTGACTAGAAACTGAACAGAGCCTCAGGGACCTGTGGGATGATCACAAAAGATCCAAAGTTGTTATCAGAATCCCATAAGGAGAAGGTACAGTACTTGAAAATGATTTGAAGAAAGAATACCTGAAAATGTACTGAGTATAGCAAAAGACAAAGGCTTGCACATTCAAACAGAACCCTATGCAGAATATACTCAAAGAAATCCACATAGCCACACACACACACACACACACACACACACACACACACACACACACTATAATCTAGCTGCTGAAGCTAGGCTGGGAGAAAAAAAAAATCTTCAAAGCAGCCAGAAAAATGATGCATTTTCTACGGGGAAACAATTTGAACGGCTGCAAATTTCTCATCGGAATCCACAGAAGCCAGAGGAAGTGGCACGACATTTTTAAAGTGCTTAAAAACAGAGCTGTCAACCCAGAATTCTATATGCAGTAAAAATATCCTTCAGGAGTGAAGGTGAAATCGAGACATGGTCAGATGCAGGAAAACTAAGAGAATGTGTTGCCAGCAGACCTGCTTTAAAAGAATTGCTGAAGGAAGTGCTTCAGACAGAAGGGAAACGGTACCAGAGGAGACCAGGAACATCAGGAATGAAGAAAGAACAACCAAAATGGCAAATCTCTGGGTAAATTTAATAACAGATTGCTCATTCCCTCTGAAGTTCTTTAAAATGCATCTGAAAGTCTAAAGCAAAAATTAAAACACGGCCTTTTAGGGTTTCGGATGTTCTGTTGCTGTACCGACGACCAGAACATAAAGAGATATACAGAGTGACAGGGTTTCTACGTTCTACTTGAGGTGGCACAGTATCGATTCAGGTCTGTCTGCGAAAAGACTGACAGCTGGTTTCAAGGGTTTTTAGCTTGATCCATGCCTTATAAAGCTCCCCATCAATTTTTTATTTCATGGTTGCAGGAACCATTGAAGGTGCACGTCTTCATCAGGGTTACAAAACAGACACTCTAATTTTTTTTCCCATTATAGTTCATTAAAAAAAACAAAAACCTTTCCTATGTTGGCTATTTAATTACTGAGAAGTACAATGCATCTAGAAAAAGGAGGCTAAATGCTTGATTCTCTTCTTTTATTTACTAGTTATAAAAACAGTGAATTAGAACCATTATTTTTAGATGGTAGATATGCCAGAGGAAAATGCTGGCTTAATCCCCAATGATCTAATTTGGAATGGATAGAATTAACTCATTTAGACAATTAAAGACCAATATCCAAACATTTAAATCATACAAGGTCTTTAATATGGCAGGGAGTATGCAGAATGGCACAGTCATTTAGAATGTACGTACTAGAACGTATCACACTTGCTTTTTATTGCCATTCAATTATTCTCTCGTATGTATACATGGGTGTATATAAATAAATTATATACATAAATACAGACATATATATACATGCACGTAAATTCCCCATGGACAGTAGGCAGAAGCTGAGATCAAGTTGAAACTCTAAAGAACTCAATGAAAATACAACAAGTATGTCCTTGGATGTCCTAAGCCAAAGGTGAAATGCTAGTAAATACGGTCTTCCTCTTAACAGCTCATAGTTTTAAGTCACTATGGGTTTTCAAAATCAATTACTCCTTGCCAGCCACCACACTAAGCACTTTTCAGATACGACCTGGTCTAATTGTCACAACAACCCAGGAAGCAGGCTCTTAGCACTCCCCTTTCGTGAGATGAGGAAACCACCGTGCAACATTACGTAGCACAGCCAACCCATGCCTAATGAGGGCGGATCAGAAACCTGGAGCCAGACTTTCCAGCTCCAGAGTCATTTCACTCAATCAGGCTGCTACCCTGTTAATGACCTGTATCCCCCTGCTACGGTGGGTTTCTGCTACTTGACTAATCATTCAACAATCTAGCCGCTATGTCACATTTTTGCCATTTGAGATCCAGAAGATGAAAAAAGGCAACAGGAGAAGGCACACGGGAGAATTCTATACTTCCTGCGTCCTCACTGGGAGGGGGTGTCAATGACTAGGCCCTGGGAAGGCATGAATGGTCACCCCCTCTTCCAGGGCTTAAAACAGAACCAACAGGGTAAAGGGAAGTCAGTTTCCCAAAACAATCACTGAAGTCATTAAAACCCGTGTTTTGAAATAAATTCGTAACATATATAACAATTACATTCATAGCAACGACAATCCTCATGAATAACATATATGTGTACATATACACACATACATTGACATACAGAGAGAGAAAGAGGGAAGGAGAAAGAGAGGGGCAAAAAGAGAGAGGGAGGAAGAGAGAGGGAGGAAGGACTGGCACAAGAAAGCCCACATATTAAGTGTCATTCTGGGCAAATCTCATTTTCCACTTTATATTTTCTGTATTTTGCAAGTTCCAAAGCTACTTGCTGGGAGAGCCGGCACAGTATGAAAGGTGGGGAAGAGATGCCTGAAGGTCACTGAAGCTGCTACGTGAAATGGTTCTGGACACAGAGACTCTGGCCAGGAAGGGAATGCGTGCGTCCAGGCCATGGAGTATGAAGTTCAACACCAGGACTGCTAAGAGGCAAGGTGGGGCAGAGAGCACGAGAAGGGGTGTGTGTCTGTCTGGGTGGTGATACCTTGGAATGTCATACAGCAAGGAAAAGGAATCAAGGCAGTCACAAGACAAGGAGAACTTTAGCTTTCTACAGTATTTGGTATATACATACACATACATATATATACATATACATAGCAACATACATATACATATATGTATATATATGTATGTGTGTATATATATATTCTTTTAATTTTTTTAACATTTATTTTTGAGAGACAGAGAGAGAAACAGAGAGACAGAGCATGAGCAGGGGAGACGCAGGGAGAGAGAGAGGGAGACACAGAATCCGAAGCAGGCTCCAGGCTCTGAGCTATCAGCACAGATCCCACTGCAGGGTTTGAACCCATAAACTGCAAGATCATAACCTGAGCCGAAGTCAGATGCCTAACTGACTGAGCCACCCAGGCGCCCCTCAAAAATATATTCTTATGACATATACATATACACCTTTTTAAAAATAACTCAAACTAGGAAGGAGAGCAGGCACATGAACACGGGGTGCTGAGTGCAAGAGTAAGTCAGCTGAGGATCTGAAGGAGCAGGGAATCAGCTCTGCCATTTATGACCTGTAAGATGCTAGACGAGTTCACGGATGTCCCTATGCTTCGGATTCCTCCGTTGTTAATGAGGATCACACGCCTGCACCTGCAGAGCTATTGTACTGAAGTATGTCCGAGACCCAAGTGTTTAGTAGAGACCCCAATAAATGGCAGCTGAGCATTCACGCGTTTGCGCAAGAAAGAAGCGGTAAGGAACAGGATGTGGGGGACGGCAGAAGGCACCTGGGCCTATGGGAGTGAGGAGCACGGAGAAGAGTGGCCCTGATGGAGGCCCCGGCCCACGAGAAGGAACAAGGCACGGCGACATGGGCCCTCCCGGCACTTACTACAGTTCTCCTCATCACTGCCGTCGGGACAGTCCTCGAAGCCATTGCACTGGAAGCGGCCAATGATGCAGTGGATGCCGCTGGCACAAGGGAAGAACGTTGGGCCGCATTTCGACTTGGCCTTGGCTACAGGAGGAAACACAAGACAAACAGCAGGTCATCAGGAGGTGAAGATTTCTGGCCACCGCACGCCCATCCCACCAACTCTGAGTGTGCAAAGGGGTCCTTCCCCGTGTACCTTGAAGTCCCCAAAGGTTTCTTACCACCACCACCCACCTCCGGTGCCCAGCCAGATCGGCGGCCCACACGCACCATCCTTGCGTAAGGCGGAGGCCAATCCTGCTGTGTTTACACGGCCCCTACACCAGCAGGGTTCAATCAGCACGTGCTGAACAAAGCAATGAATGGGTAAGCAGATGGGGTGATAGACTGAGCCTGCTCTTAAGGTGCTAAGGAAGCATTCAAAATTCATTTCCTGTCAGAGTAATTGTCTACACTGATTAAATGCTTCCCATACTAGACAGCGTGGCCAGGGCTACACACGGATGATGTCATTTAATCCCCCCTGGCCAGCACCCAACGGCACGGTGTGCAGAAGAGAATTAATGCCACTGGCCTAAGACGGCTACCCTTGAGTAAGGCTTGCTGGCTTGCAAGGCTGCCCTTGCTCGGCTGGTGTCTGCGAACTGGGGTTTCGGGAGGGTTCCCACCATTCTCTCCGGTAAGAACGGCTCACTGTGCCTGAACTATTGATGCAGACAGTGCAGTTTATGCCGAACACCTGCTTTTCTTCTGGGAGTCTGGGATTTTGGTGCACGCTGGGCAGATGGTGCCTGCGAAACCAGCCCCTAGAAAAATCCCCAGGCACTGAGTCTGTAATGAGCTCCCCCAGTGGAAAACATTACACACGTGTTGTCACAATTGGTTGCTGGGGAGCTAAGTGCACCCTGTGTGACTCCACAGGGAGAGGACTGGAGGTCTGAACTTGGATTCCCCTGGACTTCACTCCACGTGCTTCTTCCCTTTGCTAGTTTTGCTAGGTATCCTTCCACCATAATAAATCATACGACTATACGCTGAGCTCACTGAATCCTCCTAGCAAATCACTGAGCCCGGGGGCGATCTCGGGGACCGCAGACAAAGATGGGGATGGTTCTTATCCCCATTTCGGAGGCGTGCTTTGGGTGGTGAAGTGACCGACTCAAGGCCACACAGCTAGAAAATCTGACCCTGCGGTGAGCACCCCGGCACTCAGATTCCAGAAGCCAAGCTCTCAACCAACTCAACCGTGTTACCTCTCTGCCAGTCTGTCACTTCTCACAACAGAGGCCAGACTCCTGCTCAGAGAAATTCTTCTTCCACTCCTGCTGTACAAACAGTTTTAACGGAAGCTGCTGTAACTCACGCTTGATGGAGTGGCCTGCTAACCAAACAGCCCTGTGGGGTAATGTACTTTCCCGTTAATGGTGCCGGCTGCTCTGGCTTGCGATTACGAGGTGTAAGATCGAATCTATTGCCACATCCCAGGTAGCTGGCTCCGACTAGCATCCCTCCCATCTCCTGCCTTACAGGCAGGAGCTAGGGTCTTCAGGAAGGAAGGGCCATTTCTTGGGAACAAACAGCCAGTAAATTACCTTCCCGTTCCTGCCATCAGTAACATGCCAACTTTGGCGGCACGATCCACAATCAACAGGGTTTTAAGGCCTGGGACGTGCCTAGGTTTTAAAAACCCACATCGCTTTGTTTCAACTAGGAACTTCTGCAATGGTGCTGGTGTGCTCTTCAAAAGCACAAACTTGGGAGACAGCGTCCTGGGTTCGAATAGTGGCTCTACTGTCTTGTGAACTGGGGCAAGTTTCTTCATATTACTGAGCCTCAGCTGCCTCACCAGTAAGTTGGAGGTAACATCTACCTCACAGGGCTCTAGGAAGGACTCGATGAGATAATCTATGTAAAATGCTTAGCACAGACCATGGTATAGTAGGTGCTCAATTAATGGTAATGCTTACGCTATTCACCATCTTTACTTATAGAATTTTAAAACTACTTGGGCTGCTAATTTTATTCTGATTGCCAAAGGTAAAAAAGCTCATTATGGAAGATCTCTATGAACTGGTATGAAATGATCTCCAGGATACACTGTTAAGTGGGGGAGAAAGCAGACTGCAAAAGAGTTATCTACAGTATTTTAAAATCTCTACAGCAAAAGAAAGGGACATAAGAAAATGTATCTGGAATGGTTCATCTGTGCATACAAGACACGGGAAGGACACAGCAGAAACTGGAGAGACTGCTTACCCACGAGGGGTGGGTGGGAAAGGGTTGGAATGAGGCAGCCAAAACGAGAAGGGTCACATTTCTTGGAGTCTGTACAGCTCTGACTCTTAGAACCCTATCTCAGGTGCCTGGGTGGCTCAGTTGGTTAAGTGTCTGACTCTTGATTTTGGCTCAGGTCATGATCTCACGGCTCGTGAGATCAGACCCAGCACTGGGCTCTGTGCTGACAGCATGGAACCTGCTTGGGATTCTCTGTCTGCCTCTCTCTCTGCCCCTCCCCTGCTCTCTCTTTCAAAAATAAATAAATAAACACTTAAAAAGAACCCTAATACTTCACATAGCCAAAGGGTAAACAATTAAAATCATCCACATGTGCATGCGTGGAGAGGCTCAAAATGGAACAGAAACGGCAAAGTGAACGCATCTGGACTGTAGGTGAGTAAGCCCACCAACCTGAAGGGTGTGGGGAAGAGCAGAACCCACCTAACTCGGGAAACTGTTACTTGGACTGCATTCTACGAGGCTAAAGAAAAAGAGAATTGTACACAAATACGGCACTCTAATTTGTCGCCGGGGTATGGATTAGCCGTTCTGAAACTACCTTTGTGTGTACTCGGATTGAACAAATGAGTAAATATACTGCAGATAATAACAGCGAGGTTTCTCACTGTCCGAGGAAGAAGTTAAAAATAAGAAAGTGGAAAGGCTAAATGATCCCCGAGTCTTTGGACTAGAGGAGGAGGCATCAGTATGAACTCAAGGTTTGTAAAGACAGACAGAGAGAGAGAGAGATAGACACACAGACAAGAGAGAGAAAGAGAAATCATGATCTGTGTGTGTGCATGAGTTAGTATACATACATTTATTTCCTAGTTCCGTCGGCCAAGAAAGACTAGAAGTTATACACAAATGAGCACGCCCGCACCAGATCCTGATTTCTAAATACCATTATCCAATAAAGGGAACCAGGGATCCTTGGAGAAGCATTTGATTCCAGCAGGAAATTCAAGATGAACGTGGAGGGTCTTGTGTTGTCAGAAAGTCAAGAAGCACTCAAAACATGATGGGCACATGTCAGAAGGACACAGGGGTCACCCCGAAGGAGCTGCCCAATGGCCAAAGCTACAACACTTTGAGCAACAAAACGATGACAGTACCGGACTGTAATCCAGAGAACACAATAAATATCTGTGAGTCCGTACCAGTATCGTACATCATTGGATAAATAAGTAAATGGGGAAGAAGGGAAGTTTTTCCTTATAGAAGATTTCCAACTATTACACTGGAGGATGTAGGAAGCAAAAAGTCACCATTTAGCAAACACCCCAGTAACAACCGTTCCAGGCAAGACCCAGCAATGGATGCTCACATTAAGAGTCTCAGCTGGCCTTCCTCTAGTCACCCTTTGAGGGATCAGAGGAAGAAAGGCTGTTTATAGGGTTTGACATCTGAGAGATGCTTCCTTGTAAACCTCCATTCGCAACATCACTGCCCTCCCAGCATCTTAAAAAAGCCTAAAGCCCCTATCACAGCATCAGGCAGCTCTGGAGACATCTGTAATTCACATGCACCCACTCTCCCTGCCCGGCTACACGGGCCTCCTCGCTCCAGCGGGAGCTGCCGCGCTCAGTCCCACCCCAGGGGGGGGACCCTGCCTCTCCTGCTACCTGCACTGCCTTTCTCCCAGGGTCGTGTGGCCCTCCATTCATTTAGGTGTCTTGAACCACTCTACCGTCTACCCAGAAACTCTGACTCCCACCCTCAGTCTCTCTAGCCCTCACTCTGCTTCTCTTTCTTTTCCCTCCTAGGAAAGGACGTCGGCGGCTCTGTGCTGTGCTGTGCGAATGATGAACACATGGTCGTTCAAATACTTTCATTCACCACTTTGACAGAGCTACACTACGCAGCACCGACACCGGGTGATAAATGCTTGCCAACTACACAAACAGGCCTGTAAAAGAGAGACTGGGATTGGGTAATGACCCCCAACTGGCTGAATGTTTACCACGGGCTAAGCAGGATGCTCTACGTTTTACCAATCTCCCCTCATTTACTCCTCACAGAAACCCATTTCACAGATAGGAAAACTGAGGTCCGGAAGTGAGGGAGCTTGCCACTGCTAATAAGCAGAGTCAAGGCTCAAACCTTCCTCTTGACTCGTCTGCTCTTCTGCCTCTTCAGATATTTCTAAGCCCCAGTCCAGCTCCAAAGGACCAGACTTTATGAGACAAAGAAAAAGAATATGAATAATTATAAATGAATTAGCTATCGTTCAATTAACCAGCTCTTTGGCCCTGCCCCTGAACCCTTTTCAAGGATTAGTAATGAGACCTGCTGCCTTGTCAGCGATGCTCAGTCGCGGTCTCTGTCAGAGGGAGCCCGTCCTGTTATGATTTACGTCTGCGCCATCGGGCGCCTGCTAAGGCAACTGGTGAGGCGGATCACAGGCGGCCGGCCAAGCGCCTGGCTGAGCCTCAGAGAGAAGCCAGCCGCTGACAGCAGCTGTCGGCTGCTCCCTGCTTGCACAACCCACTTGGCGGGCTGGGGGGGGCTGCTGGACCAAGTCTGCATTGTCCTCCCCCAGCCCCCATTTCCACGACAGGGAGATTTCAGCATGAAACTCAGCAGCCCCGGGCAGAAGATGGAAGCCTGACTGTGTCTCAAATCGCTCTGACAAAGGGGGACAGGGGGACTCCACGCCACCGAATACCTGAATTCACGATTTTTTGAGTACCTGCCCCATGAACTTTGCAAGGTGGCAGCTTTCACCAGCAGAAGGACAAGAAACTGGGGCTCTCCTGGGGGCTGGTTAATTTCCTGATCTGTGTCCCCTCCCTCCCTCCTTACAGCCAGGTTGTCACAGTTCTGATTTTCACAGGTCAGGAAAATAAAACCTAAAAAAGTAATTTTTTTTTTTTAAGGGAGATAGGCATGGGCAAAAGACTGAAATGGTTGCCAACTTGTTAAGTTTACCAGCAAGGACATAAACAAACCCGCAATAATCCCTACTCACTACGGTCTTAAGCAAAAACTTTCGC